AGCGGCGGCGGCGGCGGCGGCGGCGGCGAACCGTCGGCTGCGCGGGCGGCAGCGACCGTAGCGAATGCTGCAGACACGGTGAGCAGCTGCAGCGTGGCGCGCAAGTCGGCGTCGAGCTGTGTGGCGGCCGGCGCCGCGTCGGCGCCGCCCCACCAACTCGTCTCTCCGCTCTCTGCGACGGCTGCAGCCGCGGGGGAGCGGGGCGAAGCGAGCGAGAGCATGTCGTACATGTCAGCGGTCGCGTCCAGCGTGCAGCGCAGCAGCGGCTCCGCGGCGCCCTCCGGCGGCTCACTCACCCAAAAGGCCTCCCGAGGCGCCTCCTCCCCCGCCGCCTCCTCGTCCACCGATGGCACGTCAGCGGCGGGCTCCTCCGAGGGCGGCTCCTCCGAAGGCGGCTCAGGGAGCCCCGACGCGCCGGGTGTCGCAGGCCGCTCGCCGTCGCTCGGGGAGGCGGCGGCGACGCCGCCGTCCGCCTCCACGGCCCGTGCCGACGGACTGCTGGCCGTGGCGACCCCAGGCGAAGAAGAGACCTCCGAGCTGTCGACCTCCATCACCTCTGGCGGCGCGTCGCCGTCGATCACGCTGCCCTCGACGACGCGCTACAGTGTCAGGCGGCGAAAGTCAGCGCTCTCCTCTCCACTACTCGCCTACCGCTGCGGACGTGTGTGAAAGCGCCGGTGACTCGTCCTCGTCGTCGTCGACGCACCGCTTCCGAAGCCGGAGCCGCTTCCCCCTTGCGCGCACTCTGGTCATGGCCGCCTCTTCGTCCTCCTCCTCCGGCCCCGCCTCCTCTCGGCCCGCCTCCGCGCCGCCCGCCTCCGGCTCCGATGCTCCGGGCTGCAGTCCTGCCGGCCGCACCTGCAGTCCTGCCGGCCGCACCTCGCCGAAGCAGAGCTCGTTGACGAGGGGCGCCACCGCCACCGTGGCCGCGCCCTCCGCCACCGCGACCGCCACCGGGGCCGCGCCCTCCGCTGCGAGCAGCACTCCGCCAAGGGCCGCGTCGAGGAGACGCAGAGGGTGCTCGAGCAGCGGCGAGCGGCCGAGCAGCTCGACGCATCCGACCAACGCCCCGACCTGCAGCTGAAGCAGAGACGCCGCCAGCGATCCCGCCGCGTCGCCCTCCGCATCGCCGCCGCCGCCCTCGCGCTGCGCAGCGACGCGCAACGCCGTCGCGCGCAGCACGGCGTCGGCGAGCGGCGCGCCGCAACACGCAGACTCGAGCCCGAGAACGCGCTCGACGCGCGGCGCGCCGGCGTCGTCGGCCCAGCACTGCAGCGTGGTCACCGTGCGCCGGACGTCGCCGCCAAAGTGATCGACCAGCTCCAGCAAGCTCCTGCTGCTGCTCGGCGGCACCTCGGCCGCCGGGGCCGCCGGGGGCGCGCCCCGCAGGCAGAGGGCGGCGGCGAGGGGCAGCAGCTGGGCCGACGACGGCCGCTCCCACCGGAGGCGCGGCGAGCTGCCCAGCAGCGCCTCGAGCTCGGCCGAGAGCTCGTTGCATGTCGCAACCATCGGGCACTTGCTCTCGCGCGCGAGCCGGCGCAGTGCGGCGTAGAAGCCGGCGTCGTCCTCGAAGACCACGTCTACCTCCTCGAAGAGGACGAGCGTCACAACACCCTCGCCGCACCGCGCCTGCGCGGCCGCCTCGCCCCGCTTCCCCTCGGCGTCGGCCTTCTTCTTCTTCTTCTGCCTCCCCAGCAGAGGCTCCGCCGCGGCAGCCGCCGGGGCAGCCGGTGCCGCGGCCGGACCCTTCTTCGCAAAGAAGGCTCCGATCCCACCCTTGGCAGCGGCACCGCCCTTGGCCGGCGGCTGCGCAGCGGCGCCCCCCTTCTGCGACTTCGGCTTCGGCTTGCGGTCGCCGCCGCCGCTGCCCCCCAGCAAGGGTGCAGCGTCCCCCGTGGCCGATGTCGCGCCCGACCACGTGGAGAGCTCGCGCGACTGCGTCGCCTCTGCAAACTTGGAGAGGACGAGCCGGCCCGACCGGACGCTCGACGGATTCACCTCGATGACCTGCGCGCGCGCGGGCGGGGGGGGGGGGGGGGGGAATCTTGCCTCAATGGCAAACGGAAGAACCGGGGGGGGGGGGGGGGGCAACAATTCCCCTGGTTGCCGAGTTCCCCAGGGCACCAAAAAACGGGGGGGTTTTTTTCGGGGCCCCTTGGCCCCCCAAAAAACAAAAGGGTCCCCCCCCCGGGGGTTTCCCCCTCAATTTCCCCCCCGGGGTCCCTTCCCCTGGAAACAAAAAAAAAGGGAGGGGGGTTGAAAGGAAAAAGGGGTCCCCCCCTCCCCCCCGGAAGGAACCAATCCAAAACCAAATCCTCCTTTGGCCGGGGGGGGGGGGGGAACCCTTGGGGGGAAACCCCCCCTTGGGGGGGGCCCCCCCCCTCCCCCAAAAAAAACCAATTGGGCAACCCCGTGGGCAATTTCCCAACCCCCCCCAAATTGCCCCAAAACCCAAAAAAATTAATGGGGCGAAAACCCCCCCACCAAAAGCTCCCGTCCCCCCCGGTTTGGCCCCCCCCCCCCTTGGGCTTTAAAAAACCGCCCCACGGGGCCGGGGGCTCCCCCCCAACCCCCGCCGGGGTTTCCGCCTAAAAGGAACCCCCCCCGGGTACCCCCCCCAAAAGTGGGGGAACCCCCTCCAAAAAGCCAATTTGGGCCCG